GAGTACCCTTGACTTCCGGTTCTTGCCAGACAAAAACGACCAGTGATGTTTCCGCCGAATGGATCCCAATCATGGGGAAGTCAAAGGCAAACACCCCATGTTCTACCCAAACGTTGGGTCAGTTTGAGGTTCTGTTTCTGCAGGGAAACTCAGGTGGTCACTCGCGTCACACCTTTGTGTGTGCGCGTTTTTGAGGCCCTTGTGTTTGTGTGTCTTCTTCTTCTCCTTTTTTGGGGGGAGTGCCAAGGACTCTGAGGGTCTATTCTGCCGACTCCAATCCTACCCTGAATTGGGGGGTTTGCCCTAATCTCACCTTCTTCTTCTTTTTTTTGGGGGGGGGGGGGTGAGCCCCCCACCAAAGCTGAGCAGCACCAAAAAGCCTGAAAACCCAAAAAAAGCATGCCAACAACAGCGAAGTCAGCCAAGGGAAGGCCATTCCATGAAGAGACAACCCTAAAAACCATGCCAACAACATGGATCCAAGCCACCAAAGGCTCCCAGGGATTCCATGAAGAGACTTCCTCGGAGTGCCGCGACTCGCTCGGCCTTCTGGCCACAGGGCTAAACTCCTCCACGCGCCTGGCGAGATGGCGTGGCCAAAACCCCGCCCGCTTTTCGAAGGCCCCCGAAGACCCCACCCCACTCAGACGGGCACAGGGGCTGTCTGCAATCAAAGAAGACCACAAAAAAGATATATTTTTTTATTTTTTTATTTTTTTTATAAAAAAAAAAAAAAAAAAAAAAAAAAACGTCTGGGGCACACAAAACTCAAAACTCCCGGGGTTTGCGAGAAAAGAGACCACCAAAGCGGTCCAAAAACCAACGCGGAGCTGCGGTTTTTTTGGGGGCCAAGTTGGATACGTGCGTAACCTACAAGTTGGAACACAAAAGCCGGGAGGTTCCCCCAAACAGCAAAGCCGCCAAGAGCGGGCAGGGGAACGAGACCCCACGTTGCGTGTGAGACATCTAGGCCCCTCGCCTCTCCTCGACCAGCAGGGCGCTATAGCCCTCCGTCTGCAGGGCCTGCGATCGAAAAGCCGCGCCGCGCGGATCCGAGGGACCAGAAGCGCCCGCCAATTCTTGGCGTCACGCAAACATCCTCTCAACATTTGCCCTTCCTGCCAACTGAACCGTTCCTTACCCCTTAAAACTCCAAGCCCTGGGAAAGTTTTCATCTCCTACAGACATATAGCCCATGTTACCCAAAAAGTTGAGAAAAGTGGTGTTTTTAAGAGGTAAGTCGCTGAAGGCGGCTCGCACAAATCCCCCCCCCCCCAACGCCAACGTGGGGCATTCATTGCCAAAAATCCGCACCAGGCCTCGGCCGCACTTGCCTTGAGCACCGGTGGCTTGGAATCGAAAAAAGGATGAGCAGAAGAGGTGAAGCCTCTCTTCCTTCATCCCCGTTCTTATCCAATTACTTGTTTTCCAAAGAAAGCCTTAGCAGTAATATCCAACTCTTGGATCTCATGATCCTTTTTAACTTTTGTTGTCTGACTCTCTCTTCCTTTCTTTGACTATAAACATATTATCAGACTATTGGTCATTGATAATATATCATATTCGCTTCACTTCTATGTATGTTCATCATTTACCTCTTTAATTTGTAATTGGTGTCTATCTTGATTCGTATATTAATTTATCCTACTATCATCATCTACCATTGAATAAGAAACTGCTGACCGAGGCTAAAAGAAGACGGAAAAGGGCGCGATCGCATTCTACGTAAAATGCCCTGGCATCCCCCCCACCCCCTCCTCCTCCCCCCCTTCCCCTACCCCTCCCCCCTACCCCTCCCCCCTACCCCTCCCCCCTACCCCTCCCCCCTACCCCTCCCCCCTACCCCTCCCCCCTACCCCTCCCCCCTACCCCTCCCCCCCACCCCCCAGCCCACCCTCCGTCGCCTCGTCCAGCTGGCCCCGCGACAGCTTCTGAACCGTCGGGGAGGTCATGCGCTGGCCGGATCAGGGGCGATGGCCCATCTCCTCCCCTTCTGGGTCCTCCAGTAGAGAGGTTAGAATAAGTTGGTACCAACTTCTTGCTGTCTTTTTTAGTTGAACCCCCCAAAAAAGGGGTAAAAGGGATCCAAATTAAAAAAAACAAATGGAAACCCCGACCCCCATTGCCATGAAGGGAATCGCAAAAGGAAACGTCGGGGGTACCACTGAAGCGCATAGGCAGGCCCCAGCCCACGCCTCTCCTGAGTAGTTGGCCCCAAGAAAAAATGCCACCAAACTTCCGTACCACCCAAATTTGGCCATCCCAAACCCCCCAAAAGCCCCCCAGGGCCCCTCCGATCACATCTTCGACTCAAACCACCGGGCCGAAAAATTCGCCCGCCCGCCCGTAGCCGCCCGCAGCCCCGCCCGCAGCCCGCTAGCCCCGCCCGCCCGCCCCAGCGGACGCCTGGGCGTACTTGGTGAAGCCTTCCACCGTACGCTGGCCCCTGGGTGCCGAGAGGAAGCGGCAAAAAGAAAGCCTGTGGCTCGATCCCCAGAGGGCGGTGGCTCAAAACCCCGTACCTCCAGTGAACATCCCAACCCCCCCCCCCCCACTAAAAATAGACTACACCTACCCCAAACATGGTACCATTGGTTTTGGGTCAAAAGCAATGGGATACCATTTTGGGGTCGGTAGGTGAATTCACCACCCATTTTTTGGAGCCTATTTTAGTGGTTGGATTGGGATGTTCACTGGGGGTACGATTTGGATTTTGACCCATGGCCATATGGCGGTGGCTTAAAATTCAACCGGAGGGGCAAACCGCAGGATTTGGTCCATGTTTCCGCTTAAAAAAAAACTTGGCTCCGGTGGTTTTTCCCCTCGAGACATGTGCAAAAACCACCAACAAGTTGAGAAACAACACCCGCGAAATGTACCAAAACCACCAATATGTTGTTGAAATATAGGAAAGCATAAAAGCATTTGGTTCCCCATAGTTCGACCCTTAAAACGTCACCCGAAAAACAAGGGGTACTCACCCGACCCGTGTCAAGTGAAAGCAGGGCTCCTTTTGGTTCCCCCTCAAAACATGTGCAAAAACCGCCCAAAAGTTGGAAATATAGGGACCCCTGTCACCAGCAAGGGATACTCACCAGAACCATGGGCAAAAAAAGGCGATGTGCAAGAAAGTTGGACATATGGGGACGCCTGTAAAATGGGACATGGACCCCCACAAATAGCGGGTGTTCCGAATTCCCGTTGGCGTCCCTTTTGGCAACCACCCCTAAAAAAGGTAACTCAAAAAATGAGAGACACACCGAGAAAGCGATCGGATGGGCGCAAGAGCAGAAACTTGGTGCCCTACCTCCGACACTCGTTTCTTTCCCACTTGAAATCATGTTCCGTTCATCTCTCACACAAACATCATCAACATGTTCCCTTCCTGCCAACTGAACCATTCATATTTGAAAGTGGCTCGCACAACCCCCCCGGCCACGTGGGCCTCCCCAACACCGAAACCGAAACCGCCTGAAGTTCTGCGGGGGCCGGTCGGCCTGCCATGCTTCTGGTCCCAGTTTATTCATAGGGGGGAGTTCCCCTCTCCACAAGTGGTGATTCCCCACTAAAGACACCCCCTTATTATTAAGAAACTGGGGTTGATGCATCTCTGTGAAAACGCGCTCCCTCGAGATATGTCCTCTGTTCAGCAGAGGTGGGGATTTTGCAGCCAAAACGCTAGGGGTCACGTTCGTGCGTGGGTCCTTTGTTCCAGGGTGTGTTTCTTGTGTGCTTTGTTTCATGGAAGCGTGCCTCAATCCATAGAAACCAGTAACAGGAAATTCAACAGGAAGTTGCCCAAATCCCCCCCCAAAAAAAAACAACAAAAACAGGGGCTTCCTGTAGAATCTCCTGTGGCTGGTTTCTTGGATCAAAATCCCACTTGAAGACTAAGCCCCATTTTGTATCGGCGTTGACTCCAGGAGTGCTGCGGCTTCGGAAGCAAAAACAAATCCTTCGGCTGGCGACCTGGCCGGCGCAGACGGCATCCGTGCCCCCGAGTTCTTCCTTCAACTGCACAGGTCTCCCTAGACGCATCCACGCATCGCTACAGGAGACTGGCGGCCTTGCCAATCACCCCTTCCAGGATTGAGGTTGACTCTTCCGCTTTGAGGGGAAGACATGGAGATCCTGAGGAGCTGCTTCTAAATCAGGGTGGGAAAAAGGGCAAACGCAGGAAACCCACCCAAGTGTCAGCTTACCTCTATCTGGAGGTTTCGATTGGTGGTTTGGAGGTTAGGAGCTGTTCTCCCATGTACCCTCTACAAGAACCGACCCCTTCAACTCCAAATCCAGTTCCCACCTCTCCAAAAAACCACCATTTTCGAGGTCTGAAATGGTCTACCCTTCTTTGCCCAAGCCAAATCCAGTTCCCACCAATCCAAAACCACCATTTTCGAGGTCTGAAATGGTCTACCCTTGTTGGCCCAAGCAACTTGCACGCCTCTGCGAAGAATAGCTTGATGGTGGGGTACCCGTGCACTTCGTACTTCTGGCACAGGGTCTGACGCGGGGCAAAAGAGCACCGGGCGTCTGAAAAAGATGGCCGTCCGGGCAGTCCAGTTCAGGGATCACCGGTTTTTTTTGAGATAAAGGTTGATCAATGGACACGTGGGGTTTCATTGAACCGATCGCCACTTTTGGAGCATCCACCAAAGGGAAATGGAGCGAAACCCAGTTGGACGACTCCTGGCATGTGCTTTCGGTCGCAATCCCCTCCAGAAATTTTCGAACGCTCGCCCAGATGCAACCTTAGCCGGTCACCCATGCTAGGGTTTTTTGGGACTAGTCCGGGTCTTCGGCACTGCGCGCTCGCCCAGATGCAACGCTAGCCGGTGTAAACCTCATTTCCGCCCGCGGCGGGGGTCGCTTGGGACTAGTAGGGGTCGTCGTCACCGCGCGAAGCCCTTTTCGCGAAGCTCGGCTCGGCAGATCCTTATATTTGCTCCCCTTTCATCAAACTTCCCAAAAGCCATCTCTTTTCGTGACCCAACAGGATGTGTTCAATCAACCGGGGAGCATATAAGAATGCGCGCGTCTGGTTGCCACCCGCGTCTTGCGGAGCGACCTTGCCGCATCATGGTCCTCAGACAGCGGTCCGAGGTCCTGAGGCCAGGGCATCCCACCCATCCGCCGGACTCGGGGTCTGCCTTCGGACCCTCCGAAATGGAACAGCTTCGGCTTCCTTTTTTGCTTCCCTTCAAACACCTCGAAGGGGCGCCAACTCAAGAACAAAATCACACCCCCATCTGACTTACAAGGAGTCGGAGCCGAGTCAGCTGGCAAAGGTGATTGTCACTGGCCGAAATCAATCCTTGAGACCTTTCTTTTTTCGAGGAGGAGAAGCTACTCTTAGTCATACTGTGGATGGACGAAATCCTGCACCACCTAAAAAACCCAACGGAATGATTTTCAATAGCATGTACCAACAAGCAATGGCTTCAACCATGGTTTCAAAGTGGCGCAGGATTTCGTCCATCCACAGTAGTCTCATTTCCCATCGAGTGGATTGGTCAAACCCAGCAACCAAACTATTTGCTTGCCACTTCCCCAAGATAGGAACATGGGGAGTGAGTAAGTAAAAGAGGGGGTCTACCCGCAGGCTTGCCTGTGCAAAGAAACAAATCCAGCCCCTTCCAAAAGCAAGAGATCTGTTCGGGGGCCGTTGGGTTTGCCTTTTCCGGGCTGCGGGCGTTTTCCTTTTTGGATTCGCCTATCGATGTTGGAAGAAGAAGGTTTAACTTGTAGCTGAAATGGAAGCCCAACCACCATACCAACTAAAAACCTGAAAAATCTAAGGAATTGTGGTTGTGCCTGTTTCTTGTCTCGCACCACTGTGATACGAGCACAACGGAGGCAAAACCGAAGGCCTGCCCACGGCCTTCCGTCACTCCGTCACTCCCCCGGCACTCCGTCGGAAAGAGCTCAAAGCGCAATAGCAATCAACTCGGTGGCTTTCTGCTCCCCTGCTAAAAGAACAAAAAAACAAAGGTGGCTTTTAATTTGGAAAACCCATTTGTTGGTCTCATGTTCAGATCCAGGGCTGCGCGCCCAATAATTAAAACCTCCCCTGCCAAAAAGGAACCTCAAGATGGCCAAGCGAGATTCCGGCTCCCTATTTCATGCGTGTGTTCCCTAAACAAATGAGGTCCGAAATCAACCTGGACCCTAAAAAATGGTCTCTCTTCCCCAGCAGACTCCTCCAAAACGAAACCGCACCTTTGGCACCAAAGGAAATCCTCCCACAAAGAGCACGGTTTTTTTGGGGGAGCCCCCCCAAACCCCCCACAGCCCCCCCCCAAAAAAAAAACAACCCCCCCACCACCCCCCTTCCACTGGCCCTCCGAACCGAACCTGTCCTCCCCAGACCGCCCCCCGAACCCAACCCAACCCAACCGACCCGCTGGGCGCTCCTAGTCCTGGCCCAGCGCCAGCGCCGCCGCCTCCAGGGAGGCCTTGCGCTGCGCCTGGCCCAGTGGGGTGGGTGGGCTGGGGTGGGGGGGGGGTCAGGGTGGGGGCGGGGGACTTGCAGTCGATTTTGCCGGAAGAAGAAAAAAAGAAGCTCAGGTGATATCCCCAACAGCATGTAGTGCTCTTTGGAGTGCTCGCACCACCCCGCAGCCCTTGCAGAACCTCGTGGAACCCTGGTGGAACCCTCGTGGAACCTTGCCTCAGGGCCGCCCCAGACCACCCCGGAGCCTATCTGGGCTGAGACCCAAAGCTTTCAGCTGTTGGGGGAGACAAAAAAACCTGATGCCCCCAAAGTGCCCATCATACAAGGGGAAGGGTGAAGCGGTCCTGGAAAGCCCATCCGACATCGCAAAGGAACTCAGAGGCCAAACACCCATAACCCCTATGAAAGCATAGGTGGCTTGCCATAACCCCTGAAAGCGTAAGAAACTCTCGCCTACCAAAATGACCCATGAGGTTTTTGGGCGCTCAGTTTTGTAGAGCCAAAGTAGACACCCCCCCCTCCCCCTGGCACAGGCAATTGGCTGAAGGTCGGTTTTTTTTTCTCCTTTTTTTCGCTCGTCGGTCGGGTTGGGGGAGTGGTTTCGCATTGCGGGGTGGTTTTGGGGGGGGGGGAGGGTCTGGAAGTGGGAATTTGAGGCCATTCTGTAGATGCTTTGGCTTCGGAGGCTTTCACTGGTTGAGTGAAATTAGTGTTGCTTTTGGGTTAGATGGTTTCTGAGTGTTGGATGCCTTGATGTACTATCTGAAGGGGAAGTAAGGGGCACTTGCCGGTTGGTGAATCACAGCAATTCGATGGAATATTTGGCCTGGAGCGGTGTCTTTTGATCCCACGACATGGTCAGTCGGGCTGTGGCAACCCTCTTGGTATGGTTTGGCACGGGAACACAAGGACCACAACCGCAAGGAGGTGTGCGGTTTTGCTCTGAGGTCGCCCTTTGGTTTGCGCAAACCCTTTTTTGGGGAACCCTCTCGAGGAGCGCGAAAGGAAACCAAGCCAATCTTCTACCCAAGCCTTGTGATGTGAACCAAATCCTTGCAGGCTGATTCAAAAAAAAGGAACACCACCACTTTGGGGTTGTCACATTTGACACCTATATGCACCACGGTCAAGGCTGCCACTCTTTCCTTCGGCCCAACTTTCACTCCTTCGGTCAAAGGGGGTTAATCACTGCACCACCTTGCAGGCTCCCAAAAGGGACTCCAATGGGCGCAACGCAACCTTCTTGTTCCAGAGAGGTTAGAATAAGGGTACCAACTTTTTCTGTAGTCTATTTTGTAGGGAAAAAAAAGGCACTATTGGGGGACCTTCTGGCTACAGCTCCGTTTTGCCCTCCGCCTCCTCCCGCTTGCGGGAGATCATGATGATGGTGCTCTTCCTAGGCGGGAATCCCCGAATTGAGTCATCGAGACCTGACATGATCTTCACAACCCTTGGCCTCACTTCCGATCGAGCGGATTGGCCAAAAACAACTTGATAAGCTTGCATATACCACAAAGATGGTCTTCTCGAAAAGTTGTTCAAGTCCAGGAACCCCCACGGAACAGAACCGAAAATCCTAAAGCCTTGCCAGCAACTCGCCTTTTGGGAGCCCTTGCCAACCTGCATCCAGCCAGGGAATGCTTGTGTCTCGGGCCCAAACTCGCCCGAGCCCTCGAGTAATTACGTAGGGCACTAAGATGGGGAAGGTCCTGGCGTGGAATATTCTGGCATTTCTTTCATCGCTGCCATAAAAACTGGAACCTAACGTACAGGCTCGCATGACGACGGCGGCTCGAGTCCACCCTGGTCCGCTATGTTGTCTGGTGGTCTGTTGTTTGCTTTTCGATTGCTTTGCAGTTGTTTTGGTGAAAGCTGGTTGTTGTCATTAAAGGTGTTGTTCTTGTTGATTTGCGCAATGTGTTGCTTGTTTGTCTCGCCTGCCTGTATTTTTTTGAGAAAGTAGAAGGGCAACCTCTCAAAACGCTACTGTACATCGTCAGGGAAGGATGTGCTTTTCAAGCCAAACTCGCTTGGTTTCAACACTCACATATTTCGGCGGTGCACCAAGTCATGTTTGGGAGGGTAGTGACCCTAAAACACCCGCAATTTGGGCTGGTGGGTATTCCTGGTCAATTTGTTCCGGGTCCACACATCAACCCAAATGGGTGGCACTTGAACCAAATCCTTCATTCTTTCCAGAGATTCCAACAGGAGCCTCCGGAGAAAAGCAAAACATGTATGGTTCCTTCAATTGAACCATGGCCTTCCACCCATGGCTGGGTTACTACGGAATCAACCCCGCAAACCCTCCTTTTCACCCGTGGCAAATCAACGAATCAGCCTAATCTGGGCTGTCCGCAGATCCCCCGCTAAAAACTTTGACTTGTGGTGGCTCAAATTCGGAAACCCAACCACTTGTCCAACCAAACAAACTAAAAACGCCAAGGGACCGGATGGCTGAGAGCCATCAACCCAATCTCACTTCCCGAGTGGATTGGCCACAAAAAGTATCGAAACTGTTTCTTTCCCAGACTAAAAAGTCCATGGTCCCCTTTAGGGAGTAACATTCAGTCCATCCCCCCACCCCACCCCCCCCACCACCCCCCACCGCCCCCCTCCGCCCCCCACCCCACTCACCGCCCACCACGCATCCAAGGCACAGGGAGTTGAAGCCCTGCTCCGCCGCGATGTCGTAGGCCGTCTCCCCCAGCGCGTTGCTGGCGGTTTCGCGAAATCGGCACGTGGCTTAGGCCAATTCATAGGTGGCCTGTTGGTTAGAAATCGATGGGTTTCCCACCTGAGTCACAATCAAAACCTGGTACAAAAATGGTGAACCCAGAACCATGTAAAGAATTAGAAAGTGCGATTGTGGCCCAAGTGCAACAAGCAGCCAGTGCAAACAGTGCGAGGCGTTCCCAGACACATCCAAATGCGCCTCGTCAGGTTCCAAAATGGAACCAAACCCGTCTAAGAGGCACCCATCGATTTTTAGCCAGGCTCACCGAGCCAAAGGACGCCTACAACGCAGGTGCGGGCGAAGGCCACGTGGCTTGGGCCAGCGATTGGAAGGACGCCAAGGATGGGGTGGGCAACGGTACAAACGTGACAACTGTAGAAACATATGCCACCAGGATTCTTGTTTTTTTTTGGTAGTGACAAAAAAGTGCTGAGGGATATGCCGATTTTTATTTTTGTTGTGGCGGAGAAAAAAAAACTGCTGAGGGATATGCCACAGATAGTTCTATTGTGCCACAGGTATATGCCAAAACGTAAAATGTAGAGGTAAATGCTACAGGGAGTTCATGACCCCAAGCAGGGTGCTGGAAACTGTTCGTGTCCGGTTTCAAAAAAGCCACATCCAAATACGGGGGGGGGGGGGGGGGCTTGGGACAACTGGAGAAAAAAAAGCTAAAACAGTGAAAAAGGCAAGTGAGCTTTGGCGTCCAAACCTGTCCAAAAGAAAACAACCAAATTGGACCAAGGTGACGGTTAACCCACCAAACAAGGGAAGCACAACTCTGCAAACCAAGAGGTCGCCCCCAACCAAAACAAAATCCTCAAGTCCTCTCCATGTTGGGCGTTTTGTTTTTTGCGCAAAAAAGTGTCACCCACACCAAAGTGACCTTTTTGCCCCCTGAACAAAAATCTCCGCCGCCGCCCTCCGAAAACCCAAAACCCCCCAAAATCTCCGACCCCAAACTCCGCGGCGCGAGGCGCGAGGCGCGCGGCGCGCGCCTGAGGTCGACGTCCACGTCCTCCTGCAGCAGCCAGGCCGAGAGGTCCTGCTGAGCCTCGGCTTTTGATTGATCCTGCTCGATCCAGCGGATCCGCTGCTCCGAATCTTCGGGGGAAAGGGAGGGTTCGAGGCGACACCTGGTGTGGGATCGATCCCGAAAAAAACGCCCCAAGTGGGGCGCCAAAAAACCAGCCTGGATGCCGGGCGTTTCGCCAATATAGCAAACCCGTTGCTATTCTCCGTTTGGTTGAAAAAATATGGTGGCATTTACCGGGTAAGTGGACCCGCGGCAGGTGACCAGGGTAACACCCTGGCCACAAACCGAGGGCCTTGTGTGGCAAACTGAAACTGGGGAGGTGCAACCAAACTCAACAGAGAACGGACCCTCCTTGGAATCCGAACACGGCGCAACTTGGCGCAACTCTACGGCGTGTCGGTTTGGAGTGTTCCCTTCTTGTGGTTGTTTAGAGTGGGCTTTCCGAAAAGAACCACGCCCGCGTCTTGAGACAAAACCCGTAGATTCCCAACCCGAATGATAATGACGAAATCCGAAGGAGTTGATAGCATTGCAAAAAAAACTTGAAAACACAACTCCTTGAAGTAGGCGTGACCAAAGCGCTGCATGTTCATCCAAAAAAACAGCCCCCCCTCCCTCGCTTCTTAGAACCCCCGAGACGGGGCGCGGCGGCGAGCGCCAGCATCAGCGCGGAGTTCCTGACGTTGTTGGAGGTCGCTTGGGTCTAGGTCAAAAATAGGCACCCTAAAAAGCTTGCCCTGGTACATGGAACCCTGGTCTGGGTCAAAATGGAACGCCCAATGGACTAAAACCAGCGGTTTTGTGATTTCATTTTGACCCGTACCCACTTCACAGGATTCGGGGCTAGGTGCTGCAACGACCAGCGAATCACTTCTTGTGGGTTCAGTTCGGACAACCCAACTGGACTTCAACCAAGTTCAAGTCTAAAGATCCAACCCAATAGCAGTCAAGTGGGGATCGCAGTCAATGTGGGGACCAGTTGGAGGCACCAACCATCTTGGGATGGCTGCGAAGTGAAGCTTCATTTTACTCACCTCCCAAGCGGATGGACCAAACAACGTCCCAAGCTTTTGATTGATACCAAGTGGATCCAAGTGGATGACCACTTAGTGGATTACCACTAAAAGTGTATGCAAGCTAACCAAACGGCACCACACACGAGCACGCGATAACTCTTTCATCCGAGCAGTGTGTTGGTGGCAGGGACTCATCTTCCCCTGTCAGATGACCAACGCTGGGTGGGCCTCATGGGCCACCCAACTCACAATTCTCAAAAACTGAAGAACGGGTGTGCAGACTGATAGCGCCCGCCCCTGAGCCGGGGCCCATGGCACCCAGGCCACAGGGGGGTCTGCCACCAGGGGAAGTGAGTCACCCACCGGCTCCGGTCACGGGAGCATGGGTGGGCCCACGCTGAGATCAAATGCATCTCCATTCAGGAGACGCGGGAGAAAAACAAACTCCTCACAGAGTTCCTGCTTGGGGACCCTTTGCAAAGGGTCGAACCCAGAGAAATCTGGGTGCGTCAGCTCATCAGCCCATTGATTGAATTCACGGGGCACATGGTTGGCCGCCAGCGAGCAGCCATGGGTGTGGAGCAGGAAGACCAGCTCCATCAGGATCGCCGCCGTGTAGGGCTTCTTGGATCCAAGGTTGAGCATCGCCATGACGTTGCCCTGATTGTCACTGCCCACCGGGAGTCGGACCCGGGAGGACAGAGGGCCTTGGTGCGTGAGGATCATGTTACAGAGGAAGAGCGTGCCCAGCATCTCCAGAGCTGCAATCCTCCGCTTTGGATCCCCATTCTTGAAAGCCCAAGGGTACTCCTCCACGTGGATCTGCTCATGGAACCAGTACACCTCCTTCTTGTCCGGTTCCACTGTGTTGGAGCACCAACCTCCCACAAATGCCAGTCCGTCGTCCGAGGCGCTAGCGTCGCTGCAACCCCACCAAGAGGACTTCGGCAAGTAGGGGGAGTACTGGACGAAAGGCGTGTTGAAGAGGAACCGCAGCATGAACGCCAACATCCTGACCACCTTGGGGGGTTTCCCCACCGTGGTGGTGGCCATCTTCCAGGCCCAAAGTGGCTGGAGCATCGACTTCGCCAGCGGACATGCAGCCGTTGCCCATTGGATGCGGCCCAGGGCCTTCTCGATGTCCTTTGAGTGCATCGCCTGCCCTTCCACCATGGTCTGCAAAACCTCCATGACCAGGATGTGTTTGTTGGCTGCCATGAGAACCTGCGGGATGTTCGGGTGGACCACGAAGCCCAGCCACGTGTTAACCTCCGCCAAGTGCGTCTTCTTCCAGCTAAGTGGGGTGCCCAATGCCAGGAGTGTGGCCAGCAGCGCCACCGCCAAGTTCACTGCCCCCTCGCTTCGAAGCAGCCACAGGAAGTCGTCGACGAAGACGAAGTTCCAATCCACTTGAGGGAAAAGTGCGTAGAGGACCCTGAGCAGAAGGGCTGCCAGGCGTCCCCAGTAGGATTGGGCACTGGCCATGCCATATGTGCCTACCTTGTTCACCCACCATTCTTCCCCCAGTGAGGCCACTTGGAACCGCCAGTCCTTCCTGAGGACCTTCACTCTCCGGTGGGCCTTGGTGACGTCCGCCTTGAGCAGCACCCACCTGGTGCCCGGCTCCGGCCATAGCCAGCCCCCAGGTGGAGGTTTGACGATCCCCCCCTCGGGGCCAGAGGCACCCTGAGAGGGGGGTCCCTCCTCAGCTGCCGCATGTAGCCAATGGAGAGCTTGGACCCCATCCAGCACCGTCGGAGCCGTCGTCCTTTCCACCGTCTGGTTCCTGATGGTGTCATTGGCCCCTCCCACCGAGCCATCGTAGATCGTGCGGATCTTGTCCCCCTCGTCGACTAGGGGGCCGGGACAAAGGTCCTCGCTGTCGCAGCCACATCGCGATGCTGCCTCCTCCTTACTGAAGGGGCCCTCCACCATGCCCATGGGGACCTCCTCCAGAAATGTGCCCGCTGAAGTGATCCGCCGAGGGGTAGTTACCCCTGCTCGTTGGGTGGGGGAGTTCCTGGAACTCCGGCTCCTCCCGTTTCAGCTCCTTCTTGAGTGGCCAGATGCCCGGCGAGGTCAGGGGTGGGTCCGTGACCCCGAGTGGGACCCCTTGCTCCAGGTCCCGGGGGAACTGGTGGTCGGGGTCCTGAATGTTCAGCGCCACGCTGTGCAAGATGTCGGCCTGCCCCCGGCGCCAGAATCTCCCTGATGTCCTCGGAAGGGATGTGACCCGTCCCCCAACGAGAGCGACTCCTGGAGCTTGTCCCCCCACGGCGAAGTGAGGACACAGATCTTGGCCCCCAGCGCTGCTGCTTTGGACAGCGGTCGGGCCCACGGAACCAACCGTCCCAATGAGGGCTTTCCTCCACCGTCTCTTAAGGGACGCTGCTTGAAAGCCATCTGGAGGTACATGACCTTGTCGGAGATATTGGGGTCGTGCGTGATCGGCAGGATGGTGGGCCGATCCGAGATCTCCATGCCCTGGTGTGCCCAGGGATCCATGGGAAGAGTTCCCCCCCCAAGTTCATCCACCTCGCCAGTCCTCTGTGTCGATGTCCCAGCCTCTGGATTATCCGAGGCCGAGACCGGAAGTGAGCCCAAGGTCAGACCTGCCAACGCTTGTTGGCCCGCCTTCAGCCTCCGCCCGGCGTGCTGGGAGAAGGTTCCCTTGGACGCCTCGGGGGGGTCGTTGGGTTAGCCTGGGGCGCCATGCCCCCCGGCCTCAGCGCCTCCAGGACGGGTCCCGCTCGGCAAAGGATGGCCGCTGCGAGACCCTGCATCATCTGCTCCGGGTACCGGCTGACGTCACTGGAGTTGAGCTTTTCTCCCCTGGGGTGAGACCCGTGGTTGCAACGCAGGTCATGCCAATGGTGGAGAGGAAGGTCCGTTGACAATGCCGTGGACTTCACAACCACCTGGCCCAGGCGGCACTCATCGAACTTGATGAGGGAGTGGTGGAGTGCACTCGCCCATTGAACGTAGGCCCGCGTCGGCAAACAGGTCACTTAGGGATCGCTCAAACGGTTCACTTAGGGATCACGGTCACTTAGGGATACACGCTCACTTGAGGATCACATTCACGGATCACTTAGGGATCACATTCATTGATGATGGGGGTGGGGAGGGGGGGGGATGATAAGCACACCCGCTCAACAGCTGCAGACCAGCCTGCTCCTTTACCGGATTACAAAGTAACATGGCTCTGGGGAGGGGGTGGGGGGGGGGGGCATGGTAAGCACACCCGCTCAACTGCTGCAGACCAGCCTGCTCTTTTACCGGATTACAAAACAACATGGTTCTGGGTGGGGGGGTTTGGGGGGGGGGGGGATGATAAGCACATGCGCTCAGCTGCTGCAGATGCTCGTTTTCCGGAATACAAAATAGCATGGTTCTGGGGGGTGGGGTGGGGGGGGCATGGTAAGCACACCCGCTCAACTGCTGCAGACCAGCCTGCTCTTTTACCAGATTACAAAATAGCATGGGGGGGGGGGGTTGGTTGGGGGGGGGGGCATGATAATGTTCATCTCTTTCTGGGGGTGGGGGGTGGGGTGCGGGGGATGATAAGCACACCCGCTCAACTGAACCAGCCCAGCCTGCTCTGTAACGAAATGGGGGCATGATAAGCACAACCGCTGAACTGCTTCATCCCAGCAAATGCATCTCTTTCTGGGGGTGGAGGGTGGGGTGGGGGGGATGATAAGCACACCCGCTCAACTGAACCAGCCCAGCCTGCTCTGTAACCTAATGTGCAAATTCATCGGGTTCTGGGGCATACGCCGCAGGGCATACATGTCAACACGCATGCACACAACCACATACATGGACTCGCCAGCAAACATAGTAACATATGTCATGAAACATACACGTCACATATGTCATGCGATATACACGCCGACAAGCACAAACAAGCACATACATGCTCGCGCATGCGCTTATATAAACATACATCGCGAGCAAACATGTCAACACGCATGCATGCGCGACAAGCCTTCTGCAAAAAAGCGATCCCGGAGCGATCCATTTGCGCGATCCCTAAGCGAACCATTCGCGCGACGCCTAAGCGACCCACTGCCCGGCCCGCGTGACCCAGATCGATGAGCACCTCGCTGCGCTCGGGCTCTTGCTGCACTCCATCGGGTCCATCGGGTGCTCCAGGAAAGAGGAGCCAACCTGCGGGACCGTTAGCTGACCTAGCCCCTTGTAGGCCAGCGAGGTCAGGTACATCTGTCGGAGCATGAGCACGCTGTCATTGTCCGTGTCCTCCATAAACCCGGGGCTCCAAGTCCTCTAAGCCCCACCAGGTCTGCTCTGCTCTGCCCCTCACCTGCAGTTGGGGCCACCTCCCACCAATGCGACCTTACCCGCCATGGCCATGGAGCACATCGTCGAGTAAGGCTCCTCGCCCAGCATGTCCTGGCCCAGGTCTCCACCCTTTCTCCTGATATCCACCGCCCAAATGTACTCCGAGAAGGCCGGGTTGTAGGCATGGAGGTAGGCATCCAGGGCCCCCGCATCATCCTTCCCAGCGTACAGCAGGATGAGGGACGGCTTTGAAGACCCCGGCACTGGCCTCGGCGTCCACCCCAGTCTGAGCCTCAGTCTTTCCGGGATGTCCTGCATCCATGGGAAGGTGGGGCTTGCCCCCCCTAGGGATTCCG